GACCGAAGTGCCGCACGTCAGTGCCCATTCTCGCGCTCGACCACCGAGCTTTGAGATGTAGCGCCACGCGCTGTTGCTTGCTCTGGGGCATGGCGGATGCGATAGCCATCTCAACCTCTCTCACTCAAAGCAGGAAGTTCTTTCAAATCCTTCCCCTTGAAGACCTAAACGCTCACCATGAGCGGCTTAGGGCGGGGAAAATCATCCGTCACTGACGGTGGCGTCATAGTCGCAAATGATACAGACATCTTCTGCTGCGGGTGCTCTAGCGGCGCTTTTCGTAACTTGAAAACGCCTCTAGACGCGTACCGATTGCCTCGGGGCCTTGCGCAGCAAGGTGTTGCACGCCCTCAGGGCCATCAGCTTAAGCCCGTCCTGCATGCCCTGGGGCAAAGAGATGAATTGCTCCATCCTCACCGAGGAACAGTCGTAACGACTCAGGTGTAGATTGTATACAAGTGCTACCAAGTGCAGCGAGGCTGCCGTAGCTTTGCGCTTAGAGGAAGCGTTAGTTAGGTCACCGACCTTTTGATCTATACTTGGAACAAGTACGAGTTTAGCAGATCGCAATCCGCTTACTCATAGAATAATTACAACCTTAACCCAAGGGTAATTAACTTTTCCGTTTAAATTCAAAAACTGACTTTTTTATTTTTATCTGCGGCAAAGACGCCTAATTTTAAATGCATAGAATTTTCTAAATGTGTATAGTAAAATCTAAATACATGTATAACTACTGGCCATCCAGCCCCGTAACGTATTCTTGTTTGGGTGTGATCACACCATGCCCATCAGGTATGACACATACCCCTGTACCAGGTATGTGTAACCCCGTTACAGGCACCGTACATATTTGACGAGTGCTTGACGATCTACTTCGCTGGCTGACCTAGATGTGGTGAGCTCCTGACGTTCCAGCGCACGTTGGCGGTCGTAATGATTCACAGGAAAGACACATCTGCTGACTCAGATAGCTGCCAAGTGATCGTGGTAGTGCTAGTCGACGTGAAGGCTGCTCGATCTACCACTATGCGCTTTCTCGCAGACTTGCAAAACCTCATCACAGCGGCCGCAACAAAGAGGCATATGCAATGTTCTTAGGCTTCCAAAATACCTTTGATCACGCTGACTGGACGACCATGGTTTTTTTTGGACTGCTGGTGCGCATGAGCGTTATATAAGTCCTACTATCTGGACCTAGCTTGTTCACACCAAGCCGCGTGCACACATGCTGATAGATTGCAAAATCAACCGGCACTGCATTTTATAAGCAAGGCAATTTAGACGGTGAAGCCGGTTATCAATTGAAACGTGAGATCCTCAGCTGTCTGACGTCCTAGTGCTCAACTACTCAGGCATTTCGCCGCATAACCTTTAAGCTCTTGTTTCGACGCTTTACGTATCAAGGTGTGGAACTGCGTGCGTGCACTCTTCGTGTATCATCTTAGCCACACAAACAATGACGCTCTCGGGCCTATTTTTCTCCTCGCAAAACATCTCGATCGCACAGGCGGCCGTGCGATGCTGCAGAACTAGTTAGGTATAAGCCACAAGCACGACCGCGACGCGAAGCATGTGCAGCTCATTCCGGATCATGTATCAGCGACGAAACGACGAAAAATTCGGCGTATCGTGAATTTTCAGTACCCACTCGATCCAACTCGAGCCTAAAGCTACATTACGAATACGCTAAAAGATCAAACACAACACCGACGCATCGCGGTTTTATCTGTATGGAACCGCAGCAAAGTTTTCGTCTGTATGCGTCGCAAGTCATCAAGCAGTGGTGTCTGACATATGGCTGAAGTGGAGCGAGGCCATCTAGACAGGATTTTTCGAGGGGGTTTTGACATGTTAGTAGTACGAACTTCTTATAGCGACGCGTTTACTCCATCCTTGTGAATACATCACCTGCAGTGGAAGTGAAGTGGTTTTAGATGCTGCACGAAGAGTCGACGCAGATTGTGGAGTAGCTCCATGCGTCGCAATTTGCCTTGCCTCTATCAAGCTAATCTCAAAGTGACAAATGGCTTGAAGGTGAGCTAAATTCTCAGTCAGCGCTTCTGTTTACAGTGTTGACGCCCAAGTCATCAGATTCGCGCACTTGATGACTTTAAAGTCAAAGCACGTTGATGAAGCACATATCAAGTTGTTTGTTTGCTCGGCGCGTATCTTCGCATAATCTTGCTCCCTTTATCGCACCATATGGTACTTTTGATGAGAAAGACATAGTTGGAGGTCATCTCGAGTGTTGAATGAGCTAACGATATATCCGTCGTTCGGTGACTTGACAATCGGTTTTTTTGGGTAACGTTAGTGTGATACTCGAACAGCCCACTATTTCCCACACCCAAACATCTTAAGCTGGCTTTGCCGCTCAGAAACAGGCTTCACTCAGCAAGTTAAAATGTCTCCGACTGCACCCGAAATTGAGACAAGAGCAAACGCTTTGAGCAGAGTCAAGCTGGTTTCTGGGGGAGGGCAATGAGAGGTGCCTTGTGGTCCGACCAGCACAAATTTTGCAGATAATGTCAGCGAATCGATTTTGTCAGTGCTGTCCCCGGCGAGCCAAAGTGACGACACAATCAGCAGCGGGCACAAAAGGGATGACATGACAGCAATGGCTTCGTCGTGTGTAATCACCCCTCGGCTTTGACAAACAATCCGACGACAGTGACAACGGTGCGCGGGGATAACACTCAGAAAAAGATTACCGCTTTAATTCGGGGCAATGCGATTTGTCAAGTGTTTTTGACCGTCGGCATGCCCGCCAAAGTTGGAAAGGGTCAGCTGGTTTCAGAATCCCGTTCAGGACAGTCGCGGTCGGTCTTGAGTATCACGTGATGTACTTCTACTCGGCTTGGCTGCCACACTACCAATTGGTCCAGAACGGCAGCGCAAATCCATTGCAGATACTTGATTTATACTTGCAGCGGTACAATAACCAAGGAATGATCTTTAAAGCATTCATCAGCCGCATAAATAGCATTCTGTACCATCGTCGACAACGATAACAACAAAACAACAAATGTCATCCAGTTGGCTCGTCGGCCACCTGTGTATCACGTGCAGAGCTCAAGGCTGCCGGCAGACTGAGTGGAAACTCCAATACGCGAATAATGTCAAGGTTTTAGGATCGACTCCATTATGGCTTCTACAATATAAACGAGGTAGTGTGCGACTGCACCAGAGTTGTGCGAAAGTATTGCGTGCAGTTTTACATCAGAACCTTGCGCCAGGACCTGTTCACCGGAAACAATGCCCTATTGCGAGGCGTGTACTCCCAGATGACGATTGAGCTCGGGGTCTCGTATCAGTCATTTATATCGCCGGCACATTTAAACGCAACAAGCAAGCGCACTTGACCAATGAGATTACGCACCCGGCGTCGTCTAGTGTCCCCACTCCCTGCTCCACCGGTTTCTTGATGTTATTAACAACATCTGACGAATGGCTGCTATTACTGTAGTCTTCGTCCAGTGGGTAACGTCCACGCCACTCCACGCGCAATACTATGGCCTCACCCTCGATTAGAGGAGCTTAGAGGACCAGTCGTTACATCCAAAGATATGTATCCTCTCCATACAGGTGATAAATTCTGATCTGGGTGTGGATTAATTTTCCCAGGATTTGGCGACACTCAACAGAGTTAAAGCTTTCTGTGTGTAAAATGCACGCCAACCCCGTTGCATATTTGGCATTACAGGGAATGCGCTGATAGATTCAGGGGCATCGTTTAAGTTTGTGCGACGCACTACAGTATCTGCTTGACTAACATACTATTTGCGGACTAGGATGCCACACTTCACTAAAGTCACGCGGTTTGCTGTGCATTCCACAGACATAAACTTAACGTCCTTTACTTGGTATTACCACCATTCATTATTGCTTTTAGCATTTCGACAGAAAGTGCTCAAAACCGAGGTTATGTGTTGGTACATATTTTGTGATTCATATTCAACACGAGATGGCGCATACAGCTCCATCGCGCACTCGAGCCTCAATGGCGCCATTAGTTTCCAATGCTGGTCGAAAACGGCGTCATATACCTCAAGATTCATCCTCATCGGATGAAGAGCAAATATTGGTGAGAGATACGCGTCGACGCCGTGGAAAACGGCAGCAAGCTAGCGCCATTCTGGACGAGTTTACGAGTTTGGATGCACTGTTAAGCAATGACCTAGCAGAGAAGAACAAACGAGAGAATCGCGAGCGCAGAATGAGACTTTTGCGTGAAGAAAGTGAAACGATGGATAAAGACGCGCCGATAGGGAAAATTATAAGCAGCATGGATTCTAATATGTCAACACTTTCGGGTGATAACTACCTTTTCGCACCTCCAGAGATAATAGTCTCGGAGGAAAAGTTTGGCTACGTCTTTACGCCAATCACCGAGGTATGATATCAAGTGACTGAGAACTCTATGTGTGATCCATATCTCAATTGTTTTTGCTACGTTAGCCACTGCCGTACCGCACTTACAGAGCAACAGAGTCCGAGCTAAAGAGCGATCTTAATCTAATTTACAAAACCATGCAATCTACCGATTCTACAGAGCTCAGTGGCTTAGTTTGGTCCAAATCTATCTTGATTCGCTGCATGCTTAAGCACCAGAAGGAAATGACTAGTCAAGCGTCTGCGACGTCACCAATTGTCGTGCCTCCGAAAATTGGGTCGTGGTTATTTTTAACGAGTACGGTACAAAGAAACTTCCGTGATGTGCAATATTTGATCAGTATGTGATTTGCATTTTGTTCGTACAGTGTCATTTCACAGCTGTGGTCATGTGGTTGGAGGATGCTTTAGTAATCTTTTGCTAATTCATAGCTCTGGACAAAACATGCCGTTCACAAAATTGATCTCAGCGCTTCCTGTGGCGTGTTTTGCGCATACGATTGAGAGTTTTTGGCCGAAATTCGGCGATAATCCTTCTTTCCAAATGGAATGGAAGCCGACAATATATGATTTTCTCAACGCCTTCCGTGCTTACGGCTTTCAAGACAGCAAACGATCGATGAGTGTTAAAAGCAAGATTCCTGTAACGCCTCCTGCAACAAATTTGCATTTGTTTCCATTTCCAACTGTGAATATGCAGTATGTGCTGACATATTTAGTGCTCTGTCTACGGACAATGACGCTGACTTTGGAAGGTTACGACGCATTCAGTTTTACAATGTTTTTCTTGCGCATGCAGTTTGAAAGCACCATACATGCTAGTATTGTTGAACTGGCTACTGTCTGTATCGAAGAACTACTGGACGTGTTTCCTCGAACTGAGTGGCGAACGGAATGGGCACCACAATTAGTGCTTCGCATTGCAGGTTCAAACGAAGGCTTGTTTGATTCCGCAGCCGGCTGGCTTGCAGTTGCACGTCGACTTCCGCGTACATTGCGTGGCACCCAGCTAACGACAGGACTGGCTGTTTATGTTCTGCAACATCGAATCGACAAAGTGCCTTTGGAAGGGGTAAGCATACTTGGTGTCGTTTTCTAGTCGATGATCAGCACTTATTTGTACTGGTTTTGCTGCGTACTTTGATCTGCAGGCAAAATCTGAAAATCCACTTAAGTTACCAATCCAAAGTGGACTTGTCGTGGATATTGTTGCGGGTATTGTGGAGGATATGACGCAGAAATATGTGGAAACACGCAAGAGTATCAAGGATTTAAAAAAGTCGCCGCCATTTGATCTATTGTGCAAAAAAGTAGCCTTGATGGATTTGGCGCTGCAGGCATTTCTTAACATTCTCACTCCAAATGAAATGAACATCATGCTGGGTAAGCTTGACCGGCTGGCTGACGCACACAAGTCGACTATGTCATCGAAATGGCACGAACTTAAGACATTAGTGAGTCTTATGCACCGCAAATACTCGTTGGAAAACTTACGCATCGGCCGCCATCGAATTTTATCACCCTCTGCGAAAACAGTGCTGTCGTTCGGTAATGATGAGTAATTGATACAGTAAGATATCGCAGGATAAATGGAGACACGATCAAGACGTATTTAAAAGGGATGAACAGTTTTGGTATCCGTGCAGCACTTCTAGTGCTCACGGACTAGCGTCGCGTACTGCTTCTGCAATTTAACTTCTATCAACTGCTGGACGTTAATCTCATTCGCCAATCGCGCCATGCGAATCTGCAGCGCCTGATTTTCAAGACTTGACAAATTCTGAAAGCATACTTGCTCGATTGATGAGTTTCGAAGCTCTGTATTCTGGTCGCGAAATAACTCCAAGCCTTGTTGGATGCGCCGGTTAAGTCCACCATTCACGACTTGGACTCGATCGTTCAGCTTCAAAGCCCTCTTTACGAGGAATTGCTCGGCTTCCTTCAGCTCTGCAAAGCGAGCTTGTACGGCACGTAACTTGTCTTCATCGGATGTTGCAAACTGAAAAAAAACGCCACCGTTTTTTTGCTCGCTTTTTGCCTTGCTTAATGAGCGGGATTGTATTTCGTTCCACGTTGCACCAAGATCCACAGCGTCTTGAGACTTCCAGAAGTTATTTGCGCTGCTCAGACTGACTTCAATTTGAATCATTTGTTTCGCATGCTCTAATTCACTTTCAGAGAATTCATGCAGGTCAGGAAGTGTATCTGTCGTTTTCTTGCGCTTCTTGCTCTTCTTGGAATTGCCATCGTTTGTTGGGAATTTGGCGATTTCGTGATCTAGTATTCGGTACATTTCGTCTGAAACTTCGTCAAACTCACTGTGAATCAACACCTTCTTTACCTTCGATGGCCGAGGGAGTCCCTTTTGCATGGCAGTGGATCGTCGCAGAAGCTCACGTTCTCGCTGTAACTCACGCTGCTGGTGCTCACGAATTTCTCGCTCACCAGCGTCTTCCTCACGATGCACACCGGCGCGAACATCCTCACCTTCTTTCTCTGGCATGTTTATTTCGTACTCATTTTGGGGAGCAGGCAAGCTATTGAAGCCCTCGCGTAGACTCATAGCCAGCCGCTTCGCACGAGCCTTTTCTGCGTTAGCATTCTCAGCCTGTGTGCCGTAAAGCTGTTCAGGATTAATGCCTAGCTCGTCGCGCAAAGGTGTGCGCGTCGTCGACATTGGTGTCTTGTCAGTAACTGCGTTGGACACAACTGACGATGGTGTCCGAGACGGAGTAGCTCCCGCATAGCCCGTTCCTTCGTACAACTCAACATTCTCGCCACCTAGAAGAGGCGTCGCACTATTGCGCATGGCAAGCAGGTTCGCCGTTTCTTGCATGATATTCTCGTGCACATTACGATTAGAAGGCATTGCTGTTGTGACGCCGTGAACCGATCGAAGTGGGGTGGCACTATAGTCCCCCATAAGTGCTCTTGTTTCCGTGGTCGAGCTATTTTCCAGAGCAAGTGCGGCTGCGTGAGTGGCATGCATGCCCAGCTTTGCAAGATCTTTTAACTCGTCATTTGAAACCACAGGAGCGGGCAGCTCTAGCGGCGTGCGTTTGATAGTATTAATTGGGTCGTTCTTCTTGTTCACCGCAGCAATTATTTGTGGTAAATGAGAGTTCATGCGCGACTTTTGTCGCTTGGCATCCAATCTGCGCTCCTTTTTCTCTTGTACGTCTCGACGTAAACCTTCAAGTTTGTCTAACTGCAACGCTGCACGCTTTGGGTCGATCCCTTTACTCGAAATCCTTTTTTCATCTACAACGTCATAAAAACCAGCAGGGGCCTTTTTTTCAAATGGAATTTCATTTGCATAGTCAATATATTTTCGCTTTTTCGTAGTCACATGAGGATTTGAGGACATGATTCCTGCAGCTTTAAGCTCACGTTTCTTTTGTAATGTTGCGAGACGTCGTGCTTCTTCTAGTTGTTTCTCACGAGCCTTGCGTTTAGCCTTTTTGCCCTTCGTATTGGCTAGACGAGCTCTAGCCTCAGACAACATCTCCTTTTCATCCTCATCCATATCTACCGGATCAGGACGTGCTGGTTTATTCTCTGGATTTGGATCAATCTCTCCAGGACGCAGACGTCTTGGATCATCCCCTACTTCGATACCCTCTTTCTGTTGAGCCGCGTCCAGTAGCCGTTCATAGTGCTCCATGCACTGCGCAGCCGTACGACCAACTATGGGGGCAATGGTGCGCCATTGGGAAGGCATGAGCTTGGCAAGATGCAACAGTTTTTCTTCCTCATCGCGACTCCACTCAGTCTTTTTAATACTCGGATCCAGCCACTCGTACCAGCGCGCTTTGCACTGTTTGGCTGATTTCCGCGACAGTAGCGACGCCACACGCGCCCACTGGTTCATGCCATACTTCATCACGGCTGCTTTGAGAATTTCATCCTCTGTGTTCTTCCACACTCCACCCTTTATCATGATCCGCATGGCTTATCGAGAGGGGAATGAGCACCTTGAAAGAGCAGTCGAGGAAGGGTGAGACTTGTTAGCGTTGCTAAAACTGTGCCACACCAAAATACATAAGTATCTATCCGTGCAAATCTGAAGCATGGAGCAGGCACTGGCAGCGCAGCTTCAATTTATGGAGCACAATGGGCGTGCGCTCGAGGATCTAGTGGCAAAGATGATGAAAGCACGAGAAGAACAGGAGGCTTTTCTGGGTACTTTCGCCCAAAGTCTTGAGGACATAGCGGCTCAGGAAGAATGTACCCCATTGGCTCAGTGTCTCGAAAATTTAGGCAAATGCGGCCAGATGCTTGCTAGAGAGAGCCATGACGTCATGATGTTACGTCCTGAAACCGAGATTCTACAAGTTCTAGCGCGAATTCAAGATTGGGCTATTGTGCCCATGAAGGTACAACGAGAAACGACGAAAAAAGTAGTAGCGAAACTCAAACGTGTATGAAATATAGAGACTTCTCGAAGATCGAGAGAAAGCTATCAAGATTGAAGCCAAGCTACAGAAAGAATACAATGAACTCAAAGTATAGGTATTGCGGGCTTGTTGCTTTTGTGAAGTGATGCTGACGATTCGTGATGGTAGCGAGGTAGCTCAGCAAGGGAGAAGGAAAAAAAGCTCAGAATGCTGTCGGACCAAAAACGACGAGTTGAGAACGTCAATGCGCTACTTGACTTACATATGGTGAGCTTTGACCGCTACCGCATTCAAAATATGAAGGTTCGATAGTGAAATGCATGATATTTTGCACATTATGCTAAGATACTGATATTTATATATCAGAAAATTGTCAGCGAGCTGGCTAGATCACAGGCATTTTACCATGCAAAGGGTCTTGAGCTTTTCGGTGGCTCGTGTCAAAATATTGCGAACTTTCAAGCAGCGGATACAGTTGATAAAACAGCGCAAGCTAATCCTGCAGAAGCAAGCTAGACATCGATGACCCTAATGATTGAATTTTATTTATATATTGATCAAGGTTTTAAGCTTTACAGTAGTAAAAGATTGATGTGATACACCTAATTGTAGATGTAAGGTGAAAATTGTGCTCATTTCTAGTTTTATTTCAGCATAGATTGATTAGAGCTCTACGATTGTATAATTATCAGAACTACCAGCCCAATCTCTGCAGTACCGGCAACTTTTGCAGCTAATTTAATTTGAGTAACTATAGAAAAACCGAGAGACTAACCGAAATGAACAATGAAAAAGACAAACTAAGCGTAAGCAGCAACAAAGTCACGTACGTTTATAGAAGAATAGTGATAGAATAGCTGATAATGCGATAGCTCGCGCTGATGTGGTTAGTTTTCACAGCCTTTGCATTATGCCGAGGTTGTATCAAAAAAAAATATAGAACGGCTAAAGTTTTGATATATTTTGAATATTTACGTAAATTGCAAATATTGTAGTTTAAAATCTGCGGTATCAATAATGAGTTTTACAGTATGATTACTGTACCATCAGTGCTAAGGTTCGTTGGTCATGGCGCTTGGCCGCCCAGTCTGAGATCTCCAAATATCAGCATTTTGAAAGTGCTCAAGTGTTCAGATGCTGCCCAGCGTAAACGCAGCAGTTGCTATTTGCTTCGCTTTCATGTTTATTTTTAATATAAATTCTTATCTGCAGTTAGCATAAGATAGTCAAGATAGTTATCTTGACAGTTATTGTAATAAGTAGCGTGGAGGTCCAGACGAGCAAGAATTGGCTCGTCCGCGCAAATTTATCTGATTACGAAAGCTCATACTACAGTCAAATTGCCTTAATCGAGGTCTCAACTGCCAACTTACATTGGATAGCATGGACTACTGATTGACGCGCTTGATCCGCCTATTTTTAGCAAAATTCTGGTTTCTGCTCATTTGAAGCTTCGATTTTTTCTATCCTACTGATTGGAAGATATGGCAAAATTAAACATTTTGTCTGCTGATAGGTTGAAACAATCCATGGAATGAAACAGGCATTGAAGATCGCTCGTTACTGCGAGGCTGAATCGCCGCGGACTGGAAGTAGACATGGCAGAGCCTACACGCGAAGCCGACGCCGAATGGGGTCAAGTGTTTTCAGCAGGAGAGAGCTCTCGCAGCTTCGTGGAAGGTAAGATATACCTGTGACTACCTACAAATCGATTAGTAATTTATGTATATTTCAATGATTGTTCAGCCGAAGTAGTTTCTGCGATTGAGTACGATCGGTCGGGAGAATTCTTAGCCACTGGTAACAAAGGTGGACGCGTATCTATTTACTGCCGACACGGAAATCCTACATCGGTTTGTTTATGTGGTTTCTATTAGACCCTGCCTTACGAATGTCTGATGATGTGCGGTTCATACTATAGAATCAAGTCGGTTACACTGGTTCAACTGGCGATCCGCGATACCAGCTCTACACTGAGTTTCAAAGCCACAATGCTGAGTTTGATTACCTTAAAAGCCTTGAAATTGAGGAAAAGATTAATCAGATCAAATGGTGCCGGGCGGCTAATGGATCTCAATGTTTACTGTCGACGAATGATAAGACAATCAAACTCTGGAAAATACATGAGCGTAGCGTCAGAGAAATCACGACGTACAATGAAAAAGGACTTGCTTATGTGCCCCGAGCACATATTACCCCAGAACTTATTCGGCTGCCGCAAATGCTCGTCCGTGGCCAGGTGACGACAACAACAGCCAAGCGTGTTTATGCGAACGCACACACATACCACATTAATTCGATTGCGATAAATAGCGACGGTGAAACCTTTATCTCGGCAGATGACCTCCGTGTAAATTTATGGAGTCTCGGCGTATCGAATCAAAGCTTCAGTAAGTTAGTGAGGTCGATGAATGTCTCAATCCTTTTGAGTAGCTCAACGAATTTTCTTAGACATTGTGGACATCAAGCCAGCAAATATGGAAGAATTGACCGAGGTGATTACAGCTGCGGACTTCCACCCAACCCACTGCAACACGATGATGTACAGCACCAGTCGTGGTGCCATCAAGCTTGGTGATATGCGCGAGTCAGCCCTATGCGACGTGTATTCCCAAGGTTGGTAATGCTTTCATGGTGATTACTTCTAGTCGCGTCATCGTTTGTTCCACCATCATTAACACTTGGGCTTGATGTTTTAGTTTTCGAGGAGCAAGAAGATCCTGAAGCTCGCAGCTTCTTTTCCGAAATCATTGCGTCCATCTCAGATATTAAGTTCTCTCCTGACGGTCGTTACATCATTGCACGCGACTTTCTTACGCTTAAAATCTGGGATATCAACATGAATTCCCGTCCCGTCCAAACAATTAATGTAGGTTTTGCAGTTGACCACACTAGACTACTTTATATGACGAAAAAGCAGCGTCCTTAACAGAATGTTTGGCGTGGTTGTTTCGATGACAGATTCACGAGCATTTGCGCCCAAGATTAGGAGACCTCTACGAGAGTGATTGCATTTTTGATAAATTCGAGTGCGCAGTGAGTGGGGACGGCGATAATTTCATTACGGGCTCGTACAATAGCGAGTTCCATATTTATGACCGTTACGGACGTGCCGATATTTCTATTACGCCACGTACCGCGCGAGTAAGTCGACGTCACTCTATGCCGCAGAGGGGACTAGCGCAACAAATCGCTGCAATGCCTACTCCAGGCGATCCGGATGCGCTGGATTTTTCAAAGAAAATCTTGCAGGCAAGCTGGCATCCGTCGTTAAAGGAAATTGCTGTTTCAATTCGCAATAGCCTCTTTGTATATGCAGCCTAATTGTTTAGAAACTGAAATATTCGGTTGGTACGAGAGCACAGTAAAGTTAAACACATGCAAAGAATATGAAATATACGAAATTCGGCTTTTATTTTCCCATTGCAAAATGCTTAACTTGCTTTTGACTATTGTGATATTTAAGAATGAGAAATGGTTTTGTGCTTATTAATGATAACAACCTTCATTGAAGTTGAGTATATTTGCTGGCAATATATTGTGTGCGACGTCAAAACAATATATTGAGTCATCACGGTATATTCCTTCGTGTACGTGCGATTCCATGTGGTTTCTCTTGTAATAGCGAAAGTGAGGGTCAGTCTTATAGTCTGGTGATAAGTTCTTCTCCAGTTGCTTGAGACTGACCTTGTACTGCTTCGCTGTGAGCTCTTAGTTTCTGCGCGATAAGTTGTTCACATACACCATCTTACCGGTCCTACCACGAACCTTAACTCGACAGCTGCTTTAGTTAATCCTTTAGACCATCAAGCTCGTAAGCAATGTGTATATCGTTAGCTATCGTGAAATGACTTCATATTTTTTAAATTTTGTGTATGGATTGACTTTATATTGATTTATTGTGATATATGTAGATAAGAAACGATTAAGCGCCAATATTTACTGCGTGAGGCTAATTGCCAGTGCATATTTAAAGGAAGCAAGTGCGGCTATTATTGACATCGTTAATGTCTATTCTTATTGGCTTCTCGGTCGCTTTCTGTCGGTGTGAGAACGAAACCCCCTTTAAAGCGGCTTTTGAGCTCCAAGTTTACCAACATCCCAAATTCTCTGAGGTGAAAATAGGCCAGACGACAGACTCCGCAGTGGGCAAATGAATTAGCTATATTTTCTTCTAGCTCGAGATTGGCAGGCCAATGTGTGCAAAGATGAGACTAAACAATGTCTCCAAGAAAATGTTGGTGTAAAGTGCAACATGTTTGATTGAGTGTCTGCCTTATATCCAGAAAAAATATATATACAGAAAAATATAAGGCAGACACTCAAAAACGAAAGCCACGTATAGACGCTAGAAAATTTAGTTGGCGATTGCAAAAATTGATTGACTGTGGGCCTTTTTGCTATTTTCTGGGGCCTTAGTGTGACAGAGTTCAGCATCAATTGCATCAATTGGGTCTCGGCTGAAGCACATGAATTATACCTACCCGACACAAAAGTACGAGCAGAAAATGCAATCGAACAACAAAAAATACTCTCTTGATCCTCATGATATTCACACCAATTCTTAGTTTGAAGTCTTCCATATTTCGTCTGGTCACCGTGTACTTTGCACAGAAGAAGGTTTGACTCTCGGGGTCCGCGCTAACAAACGCACAGAGGTTGGGTTTGTGCGCTCCTACCAGGAGCGAAGCCGAGAGCCTCTAAGGCTACTTACACTACTACCATTTCAAGAGTGCAAGTGTTTAGTGTAAGCTCAGCATAAATTTATACTAAATATAACCGTAATGCTATCTCTCGCACAAATCTGTTTTTTGCGGCTAGGTACTACGGACCCCTCCATTACGGAATTCCTTAATCTTCATAAATACCGATATTCCGGTTGTCATGCACACCCACAATTATAGTAGCTGTAATATGAGATTTGTACAATTGTATCGTATTGTATTTGATACAGTTTACCAAAAATGTAAGAATTTATTACTCAAGGTTACAGCACTTGCCTCATGACAGAAGAGGAGTACCTTTTTCTCAGGAAGGACTCGCGGCTTAACGAAGGGAAAGTTTGAGATTAATGTTAGACCTACCTTCGTTTCACCATTGACCCCACAGAAAAAGCAAAGCTGTCATACGCACTATGAACACAACTGCTCAGAGCCATGGAGCTCTTGTACGAGTGAAGCAGAAGGGATGAGTGTATAGTACTCGTCCATCTTGATCAGACAGTCCACAACGATCACGATGTTAAAATTTGCGGACGCTTCAATTGTAAGATTAAGCGTAAAGTTCACTCTGATGGACTGCCAGCTTGGCTTGGATAACACAAGCGCAAAAATGTGCATACTTATTCTATATTTTATTACATTTCGCTCATTGAGCAGTATGTATTTTCTCTACCGAGGTGGTTACCCAAAAGGGTATCATGTTTCTAATGCATTTTTTCATAATTTGAGGCCATCCTCATGAGGCACAGCTATATGTCGACTGTCAGGGCTGCGTTACAGCAAGCTTGGGGATATGGTATAGCGGTGGGAGTTTGCTTATGTGCGCAACGATACATGATTACAAACGGCAAGCCGTTTATATGCACTGTGAACCCAGCAAGAGCATACTCCATTTCTGTTCGCGCCTTGACATGTGCGGTGATTGATCAGGGTGAGATGAGGATGTGCTGATTATGCAGTACGAACTGTCTAATTCACCAGCAACGCTCAATCGTCTGGTGACACAGCTATTCGGGCCGCATCACGACTATGCACATTTCTGTTCGGATGGTATACTCGTCCATAGTCGTGCAGAGTACGGGAGATCAAATAAGGAGAGCCACATTATACACTTGCGAGCAGTGCTCGAGTGTATGCGACTAATATAGCTATTCGCCAATATTGGCATATGTAACTTTGGCGCCGACAAATTTTGAGAACATATCCTACAGGTAGAACCCGCAAAGATAATGGGCTGATGCCTCAGTCCCAAAAAGACTTAAGGAAGTTGCTGATCCAATTGCTCAAGTTTAGTGCAAATTATGCCGACATGGCACGACCCTGCACCAATATTATCAAAGGGCCGTCGACAGATGCCGGAGTGAGGCAGAAGTGGCGGTCCTTGAGGCTGTGAAAAGAATATTCATGCGTGCCCCGATTCAGGCTCTTTCTGAAGTTGTGTTGGGCATCCTGTGTTATCTGTGGCGCCCGACCTTTTTCGCGATATGCTGCGCATTGCTTCAAGTAGATGCCAATAGACATGAATGCGTGATCGCAATCAAGTCTCTCCAGCTGAATACCACTGAGAACGTTTGTCCTTTTGCGGGAGAAAAAGTATTATCTCTCGTCAGCAATTGATTCTACCATCAACCAAGTCAAGGTTATTGAACAAAGTGCAGCCGACCATGCTGATCTGCATTACGTCATATCCAGATATCGTCGTTTACGCCGAAACTGTTGCTGTATATAGTTTCTTAATAGCACAATAGGTCGCCGTTTGCCATTAGCTTTTCTGACACAAAAATTAACCCCGAGCGGTAAGATTTACTTTCGCTCGCAAAACTAGATTAGTGCAAAGCACCTGAATTAGGGACTACGATGGCACCATGCTCTCTGGATATGTCCATTGACGTTTGACGCAGAACTTAGCTCAAGTATCCAGGTCAGGTTCATGATGCAGTCTCCAATCCGTGGACCTCACCCATGGTTGGCTCTTGTCACCACAACGCATACTCCCTCAACAGAGGACAGAAGGATCTGTAGGATCTCCAAAAGATAGTTGTCTCGTATTTTGCACTCAGTACTATGCAAGTATTCTTTATCAGACCCACACCTAACTGACGATGAGCTCAGCTCCAAATCCTGTTTTTTGTATCATTCTAAATTTTATCATGTTGCCATTATCGGCAAATATCCTTTTGATGTATCTCTTTATAGCCAGGGAAGATTTTGGCGGAGGAATGAGGGGATTTCTTCAACCCATGAGTCTGCTCTAGTCACTTCATTCACGAGTATATAGCTTTGCTCGCCAATAGCCTGCGAGGTGGCACTGCTCCGCACAGTGCGTCACATGGTAGTGCTGACTCAGCAGTACCGCCGCACCATGACAAAGATGAGTCATGCGTCTTAACTTCAGAGTCGGACCTCTCACGGCTCACAATCGCCCTATAACCTACCGGCTCGTCCACGAGAGACAGCGCCGCCCGGTCGCCTTGACTAACCACTAGCCTTGGTAGCGGCGATACCGGCCGACAGCTATATCCTTGCGATCCCACTCGAGACACACTCTCGGAATCACAAAATGCAATCTTTTTCCGTCCTCATGCTGAGTCCACGGCTCAGTGCTACTTCAACCTTCCAAGCTTCGCTTGTGCACCTTGCAATACCGTTGCTTACATTTCAGACAATCACGTCATCAAGTAAATCAACCACCTATGTCACCGTGCTAAAATGCGCTTCTGCTTCCTGATAGAGGTGGGCTCGTAAGTTGTCAATACCCGTCAGCGAATTGCTTGACACCTAGCTATTTCGACATCATGTGCCCCACAGGATGTGGTGTTCCAGCCTCGCCATACCTGGTATGAGATCATATCTAAAATCTAGGTAGAATGTATACGCTACCAAATCCAGAAATCTCACTTTGACGATATAACATAACCCTCGATACTTTCACCTGCTTCCCATCGCCCCATTAAAAGAAGTCGACCCTCGTAGAGTTGTATAATATAGACCGCAACCTTCACAAGATATAACTTAAGTCATTTTATTCTGAAAGGCCGCCCTGCGTCTACTGAAAAAACTCGGGATTTTATTGTAAGGGGTTTGTTGTACGATCTTGCGTGGGAGCTTGACCCTTCGTACCTTTTAATCAAGAACAAAATGGACACGCAGGTGCAGATGTTTTGTACTCCCCTAGATAAAGCATCTGCGAGTATCGCAAGGCTGCCCGATAATTAAGAGATCCGCCTTCTCTTCGTTAGCATGGATATATCGTTGCCTTGATAAGCTCAAAGAGCTTCCAACTCTAGTGCCTCACCTGTCTCTCACAGAACAGAAGCTGTACTCCTTATAATGCGACGCAAACAGCTTTCTCAAATGAGGTAGGTCTCGGAGCAAGCCACACTTGGATATAAACCGTCAATAAAGATGGTAACTGTTGTCGTTTCTGTAAGGCCAAATAGCGTTGCAGTGATTAGATTTCTCGGCATCTGATCTGAACATAGTTTGCTAGATCTCACCTCCCTAGACGGATGAATAAGAACTTCAAACGCATCCAAAACGTCTGGCTGGGCGGGACAGACACTCGCGCAATCTGTCGCTTCAGAACTTCCCACATAAGGAAAGCCTACAATACCTAGGCACTGCACACTAGTACCCATTCTCTCGCGCGGCCTGCAAGCTTTGGAGATCGCAAGCTCGATGCGCTATTGCTCCATGCAAAGCATGGCAAAATTCAAGGGAAGCCTAACTCCTCTCATTCAAAGAAAGGGATTTTCTCCATTCCAATTCTCAAAACTATGAATGCTCAACATGAGAGACCTCACTGTGGTCACCAACTATTCTCCTATCGGAGACCGGTTGGTGTGCCTATGAAATTATCTCATCAGCGCATTCGCAAAGATGTTGTGCGCATCTAGGCAAGCAATACTGTCAGCTCATCATCCCATCGCGATCAACAATAGAAATAAGCTCATTAAGCTGGTCTAGTTTTACGGGACAGGCGAAACAACATTTCTTGTTTCACTCTCGCAAAAAATAGAGCCATTTTCGTATTGGTCGTAGAATTGACTGTGAGGGCTATCAAGTAAAACAGAATTGCCGTACCTTTTGCACAGAGGAAGCTTTGATTTGTACGTCCGCGTTAGTAAACGCACGGAGATCGGATTCGTGCGTTCCAATGCAGAGTGGAACCGAAACATCTAATGTAACAAGGTGTTTGGTTAGCTCAGCTATTTCAAGAGCAGGTATATCGGGTTTCATCCTATTAGACCAATACTAATTTCGTACGTTTAAGTATCTCGCATAATAAATCTGTCCTTATTGTCTGACGTGCAACTAGCAGCCCACACGTTCTTTCCATTATCTTCATAATTACTGATTTCTCGGACTTCTGAAAAATGTGGATTTGTCAAACTGACCACAAAATTGTAGAATTTTCATATCGTAATCTTGCGAAAGGATCATGAAAGTAAGAACTAATTTCCCAAATCCGGGGTGCGTTAGAGTTATCTGGACCTTATATTATATAACTTGAAAGAAATTGCGGTATAGATGGCGTGCACTGACTGATACATGGGAAGTTAGAACGTTTAGTTAGTATTGTTGTCCTTATAAACAACAATTCTACTGGCATGACGTCAACGTATCACAAATTCTCAAACTTTCTGCGACGTGCTTCTTTAAGAACCCACAAACAAATCATTTCCAAAAAAAATCAACAATGTCATCGTTTCGCTTGTTTTCATCGTCGCTGCTATTCCACTTTGCCATTGCAGTCGAATCTGACGCTATAGTGCCCTTCAATTCAATTAAGGACACAGTAGATACGTTCCAGTATTCACTGGCGTTTATTGTGGTGCTGGTAGCTGCTCATCCATTTGGACTTTTGTTCCCCAGACTCTTGAAACTACCGTTAATCACGGGCTATTTAATCATTGGAGTCATTGCTGGGCCATTTGTGACGAATCTTCTGCCGAAAGCGTTGGTTAACATGCTGTCGCCATCTGTAAATGGCTTAGCTTTATCTTTTATTTCATTCCAGGCGGGACAGGAGATTTATCTTCCAGAATTGAGACCACAACTCAAGCAAATTTTCATTCTCTTGACTGCACTATACGTGACGGCCATGACGATTGTCACAAGCGTACACTTTCTAGCAAATAACGCCTTCTTTTATGATACTTTTACGCCAATGTGTCAACTGGGTATTGCCCTCATGTTTGGCTCCATTTCAGTGCTTGGATCACCTGCGACTGTGATGGCAATAAAGATTGAATATAATAGTGTGGGACCTTTTACCAATCTTATGCTTGGAGCCACGATGACAGCTGAGTTTGTTGTGCTCATATCGTTTTCCATCGCTCGCATTGTCTGCTCTAGCTATTGTGCTGACTTGAACGTCTCGGTGGAAAACGTCATTTTTTCATTAGCCATTGTCGCGTCCAATTTGGTGCTTGGATTGTTCATTGGTATCATTATCATCCTTATCTTTAAAATTCCTGGCAGCACAGCAGACGAGCACATGGATCTACACGACCCACAGTCAAGTTTTGGATCACACTCTGAAGATTTGGAAGCAATTGAAAACCATGATCAGATGCCAAATTCACATAATGTGTACGTGGAAGCAATTGACGAGATCAAACATTTCAAGTTGTGGACACCGACAGTGTCGCTGTACACCAAAGGATTTCTTTGGATATCGTTGGGTTATATGTTTTATCTTTCCAATGCAACGATAAGTGAGGCAACGGTGGCTTCGTATGGACTGACGTGGGAAGTGAGATTTGAACCTTTACTCGTCCTAATGCTGGCTTCGTGTCTCGCTGGTCACTATTCTTTGATTCGCCACGATATGCACGTGATTCTCGATACTGTGGCGCCGTACATGTTTCTTCCATTTTTCGTGATGACTGGAGCTGCACTAAAGCTTGATAGTGTCGCGGAAGCTATTTCCCTTGTAAGTTTATACATTTGTCTACGGTTTCTTTCTGTCTTGCTTGCGTGCTACTTAGGTGGTAGATATCTGCTCAGACTTCCTCCAAAGCAGTATAACAATCTGTGGCTAACAATGACTCCACAAGCTGGCGTGGCCTTAGGTTTAGCCGACGAAGTCAAAGGTTTGAGCACTGAGCCTTGGGCAGCTCAATTTGCAACGACAATCATAGCAGCTGTGGTGATCAATCAGATCATTGGACCCGTGTTATGTGCCGTCGGCTTAAAACGTGCAGGTGAGAGCATATACCATCGAAACGATGCAGCTAACCAGAGCGGAAGATCCATGACGGCTAGCAGTGCTCAAAGCAATCAATTGTTAACCCAAAACAAAAATGACCCGCGTGCTTTACTTCCTTTTTACAAGGTGAAAAATGCAGTGATCATTGGCGAAGATGAAGTTGCTTTTGAAATTGCACTAGAGTTGTCGCTTTACGGAGCTCAAGTAAATGTTCCATTGCTAGATAAGGAGCAAGCAGACAAGTGGCATACCATCAACGAAACCATTCGAAAACGTTCTTCAAAAGGCGATTTGATACAATACAAGAACAAGATCAACGATCGCCAGGAGAATATTCCACACATGCACGGAATGGCAGCAGCAGACGTATTGATATTCACAGGTGACAGCATGCGCTCGATAGAGTACATTCGAACGATCAAAGCTCAGCTTGGGGAAGGTCAACCCCGCATGATCGCAATAATATCTGATTCTTCGTACAACCACGAGCTTAATGAGCTCGGTGTCTTAATGATCCAACCTTCTATTGCTTTGGCTAACATTGCGACTCGAATGGCATTACTCGAACACAAGCTAGCAGAATCACTCTCCCATGAAATTAGTACCACGAGCGACTTTGAAACAGCAGCTTACTTTATGGAAGGTGGCGTTCAACCTTCGCTATCGAAGATGCGTCTCGACGGTCGTCGCCTAGCTCTCGGCAGGAGCGTCGTGACACATCATTCGGTCAATTATGATAAGATAGCCGAGGTTCTGGCTGCTGTGAACCTTCCTATGCCTCCTCCACCATTGCGCGTGTCGATGTTTGGTACCTCAGCAGCTGGATTTGATCCGTTTGCCAATCGTGGTGACGAAATGTCAGCGTACGAACATTTTGTGGTGCAAGATGATCCTGACAACATTGAAAAGAATGTCTTTAATACGCAGTTTGTTCGGCGTACACCTCGGTTGAATGTCGCTCCAGTACCACATTGTAACAATCCATACTCGCTCGTGCGATCCCGATCGTCTCAAATTCCTGAAAATAGGCGCCCTAGTCTTGGAACTAGCGACAATCGGGCAAGTCTACAGGAGTAGGAAGTCACATGATTTTTGAGGATCATGGGATATAATTGTTAATGTGTTGAGTCTGTTTCGATGTCGTTCCCATTTTTTAAATCCGTTTCGACAACTCGATTGCAACTGGAATTGGCTATCAATAGTCATTGTTGTGTCGAAATATATGGGCGGCATTTTCAGTAACCAGGTACCTGAACCCGATGAGCGTATGCAGCACATGATTGAAATGCTGAAACGTGAGTAAATAGTGCTCAAACAAGACATATGTCTGACATGCGTGTCTATCACTCAAGTTACACCGAAGGATCTTCAAGTGCTTTATCGGAAATTTTCCCGCTGCGACAAAGAGGTTAGCATACAGTGTGCTTCCTATAGCGTCAATATGAAACTTATACTCCTTTGATGCAGTAAAATTGAACAAGATTCTTTCGCTAATGATAAATAATGAAGTGATCATAATGTTGAAACTTGATGTAGCAAAAGTGGCACAATCGACCGTCGTGAATTTTATGCTTCGATCGACGAAAAGATCTCACGATTTGGTGATGCGATCTTTATTTTTATTGGCACGCAATCTATACTGCATCGGATGTACCTTGTACGTGGAATCATCTAATACTTTCATTCATTCACAGACGAAGATAATAGCGGAGTGCTGGATTTTAGCGAATATGTTGAAGCTTTAGGAAAATTCTGTCTCTTGAATAAAGAGGATGTACTTAAACGTGCGTTTTTGCATCATCATTTCGAGATTACTACGATCGATTGATAGAATTCATTATGTAGTTTGCTTTAATGTATTCGATGATGACAAGAATGGGACAATTGAGGGTGAGGAGTTGGAAAATTTGCTTGAAATGCTACACGAAGATGAACAAACGAGCAACATGAAGCATGCATTGAATAACTTTGACTTTAATGGGGACGGAAAGATTGACTTTGCTGAGTTTAAACAGTTAAATGCAAAGTTCCCAAGTTTGTTCTATCCAGCTTACCGAATTCAGCAGAATATGAAGAATTTTACACTGGGTGAAAAGTGGTGGGAGCGGAAAATCGAGGATTTGATCACCGAGCATAACAACAAGCTAGCACAGCATAATGATATGAGCATTGAAATGCAGCTAGTAAAAGAAAGGGAGAAGAAAATCTATGCTGAGCAAGAGCGCCAGAAAGTTGCTCGCGAACGAATGGGGTGCATGTATTACACTTGCTGCCCATGTCGACGAAAATCTTACACTACTGATCGTCAGGAAGCCAGTGATAGTGACGGGGAAATAGAACGAGAAAAACCGAAGCACGAAGTTGTCGTAAAAAAAAATCGAAAAGACGGTAGAAAACAAATCATTGTATCGGTTGGTCCTCGAAAACCTTTGACACATGAAGAGCGTCTTGAACGCGCACGGAAAAGAAGGCTGCGGGATATGCAGGATCGACCTACTCGAAAAGATTGATCACTTTTGATTCTTGATAGATGCATTTTCTGGTACATACCGATATGTGTGAAGTATATCGATAAATTTTATTATTTGTAAAAGATTTTTTTTCAAACTCGATTGATGGAAAATAGATCTTGCTCAAAATATTTTGTTTGTCAAATCAAGCGTGCTTAGACTTTGCACATGAGTGTGTGTTGTCAATCAGCACCTCGAGCGTATGTCTCGATCCCCGATATTACTAGTTTGGACAGGCAGATTGCGCAATTTGTATTTTGTACATCAGCCAAATACCCAGTGAAGTACAAATATTCTACTGGGTTCTTTACTGAGTCCAGTAAAGAACCCAGTAGAATATTTGTTAGAATTAAATAGACAGGCTTAGAGGTAACACAGCGAACTAAGAGACTTTCGCCTTACATTTTGCCAGATAGTACTCACCTCAATCTTTCTATAGGTTATAAGCCCAAGCCCCGTCATATCTGCCACCTTGGCTCCTGACTCTGCTTTCGCCGACATCGAAATGTTTAAATGGTCGAATCAACAGGTTCAACGGTACAAATTTTCACACCTGAAATTCAAAATGCAGATGTGCTGGAAGAGAGGAAGTTGTGGGATGTTGCAAGTGGTGAAATCACACGGAGGCAATGCACGAGTTCTATGAATGAGTCGACCTTCAAAAAATAGTATCCAAAAGCGACGTTGACGAATGGAATGCAGCGTGCGACTCAGAATTAGAGTCACTTAACAAGAACAAAACATGCGAAGTCGTTCCACTGCCTATGAACGCAAAGTGATTGTGTTTAGATTGGTATCTGAGTCGAGGAAACCCGAGCAATATAAGGCGCGAGTCGTGGCCAAAGGGGCTTCTCATAAGTGTAGAGCTGATTTGAGCCAGAGGGGAAGTTCGCTTCATTTTATATCGTACAGAGAATGGCTGCCATGCGCGGCATCAAATGGATGTGAAGATCGCTAATAAGTTTTGGATGAAGAGATTCACCTGAAGGATATATTCACGCTATGAGTACAAGCTCAAGCATGCGCTTACCGGTCTCAAGCAATCGCTAAGAATGTCGAATATATGATCAATATGAGTTTCAATAAGTGTAAATAATCGTGTTTACAATTAGCACCCGACGATGACATGATTATTGTTGTGCTTTAGGTGGATGCTCTCAACATCGCAAGCGGCGACAGCTTACTTCTACTCTCAACCAACGTGCGCTAAGTGGATGTTTTGAGATCTTGTTGAGCACAAGTGTTTTTCGGTACGGAAATAGGACAAGATAAAGTCTCTGGTCATGAAACGAAGCGGCAAACCAAGTTTATCAGGTCAATTTTAAGCAAGTCTGGCATGCAGAACAGCAAGCCTGTCAAAAAATCTCAAGATACAGGACTCAAGGTGACAAAGATAATGTATGAAGGCCGCTGCAAACATGAAGACACTGCCATATTGACGTTGTGTCGGAAATATCATGCGCCTCATGGTTGCGACGCGCCTAGATCTTGCCAAGGCGTAGAAGGTCTAAGCCAATTCGCTGCAGACCCGTGTTCGACGCAGTGGCAAGCTCTCAAGCGCAAACTGAGAATTCTTAAAGCAACCCAGACACATGAAGCTCAACTTCACACTGAGCTGCTTGGGCATTCAGATGCAGACGGGCTAGAGACTTTGACTCTCGCCGTAGTACAAGCGGCTACGTGTTCATGTTAACCAGCAGATATATCAGCTGGCGAAGTAAGAAGCAACAAAGTGTGGCGCTCTCCTCAACAGAGGCGGATTATATGGCACTATCAGAAGCCACTTAAGAAGCTGCGCGGCTTGAAGTTTTTCTGTGTGAGCTTTGCGAAACGAGGTTCAATCATATCAATGCTCGCTGTTACTTTGTGAGAGAAAAGATCGAAAACGGTCTAATCAATCCTAACTACTGCCCTACACAGCCGATGTGATGAAAAAGCCAATTGTCTCTGCGTAGTTCGACTTTTCGTACAAATTTGAAATACAAGTTGTCAATGCTGTCGTATCGAGTGGGAGTGTTGCCATTCAGCATCTTGAGTGTAAGTCTTGACCAGCTGATACTACAGTAGTCACCGGTATCACCAGTTTGTGACAGGCATATCGCGCAAGTTGTAGTTTTGTACGCCAGCCAGGTATCCAGTGATGGATATTTACGGACGCATAAAAGGTACATAAGTCAAGTATGGAAGACAGTATAATATTCTTAACAGGATTAGAGGTAAAACAGCAAACAAACTTTGCATTTTGCCATCACGTGCTCACCTCAATCTTTCTATAATGAGAATATTTTTCTCACCCTGGTCGAATTTGCCATATTCTGGTACTACGCGGAATACATTTGCCACCATGGTTGTGTGTTACTCTAACAAATAAAGACAATGTTTTGGAACCAGCTCAAAAGATGTTAGTAGAATTCTCAATTGCAGACATTACATCATCGTAAATGTGAATATACTCAACTGACTCGCGTGCGCTGCTTTGCCCGTCAAGCTTAGTGCTAGTCGTATGCACGCGCATTGCTGACGGGAGGCGGCACGTTTCACGGAGGCTAGACTTAGACGAAGAGCAACCTCAAGCTCCCATAGAACTATGAACCCGCGACCTCTCTCGAAGGACGCGGAAGAAGCAAAAAAGGCTTCGTTGAAGGTGACTGTAACGTGCTTACACGTACCATTGTATACAGGGGTGGGTCACACAAGATGGTGTGACCGTATGGATTACACAAGACTGTGTAATCACACTATGGTGTTGCTACACCGTAGCAAGACGCCACTACGTGGCAGGACTGAGAGTAGTAAGTTGTATATTAATTCGGTTTTCTATTTAATCAAGTATACCTAAGGTTTTGGATATAGGCGGCTTTGCCGCAAATAAAACAAGTAGATACAGTTTCAATTTTGAAAGGAAGAGTGTATTTGCTTGGTAAATGTTTCGGATACTCTTGTAGGTAGCGGGTTGCGATCCACTACACTCGTTCTGGTTCCGGTACAGAACGTAAGATCGGTGACCTTAGTAAGTTTCCTCTAAGCAATGAGCTACGGCAGCCCCGCTGCTCTTGGTATCAATTTACGCCTGAGTCGTTACGACTGATACTCTGTGAAGATGAGGCAATTCTCCTATTTGTCCCAGCGCATGCAGGACGAGCTTTATAAGCTGGTGTCCCTGCTTGGCCCTAAAAGCGCAACAGCTTGCTTTGCAAGGACCTAAGGCGATAAGCGCGTGCCAAGAGGCTTTTTACCCAGAAAATGCACTGCTAGAGCACCTACAGCAGAAGCTGTCATCGTCGACTACGTCCATGCACCACCGTCGACGACGGATGACTCCTCCCGACCCAAGACGCTCATGGTGAGCGTTTAGACCTTCGAGGGTAAGAATGAATTGAATCTCATGCCCTGGGTGAGAGAAGATGAGATGGCTATGGCTTCCGCCATGCTCCAGAACGAGCTACAGCGCGTGGCGCTAGCTATCTCCAAGCTCGGCGGCCGAGCGCAAGAGTGGGCACTGACGTGGGGTACTTCGCTCTAAGCCTGGAAGGAGCTGAGACGTCAGCTTTTGCGTGTTCTCGCCGCCCAACCAGGCATATCGTGTGCGATCGCGTTTCCTTGCTGCCCGAGATGGCAAGAAGGAGCTGGTGGATTTTGTCCAAGAGTTAAAAGCTCTCGTTGCCGGAATGGCAGCCGTTCTTCTCATTCCGCGCCCACAGTGACCGTCTTTATGGAGGGCCCCCGCACTGGCGTGGCCAGAATGGATGTGCATCCGTCTTCTTCTGAAGAGGCGGTGAATGTGGAATTGAATGCCGACCTCAACTCTACGTCGGCACGACTTGGTTGGAAATAACACCCTCAGAGCTCGTCGAGCGGGCCTGAGTCAGTAGATTTCAGGTGTGCTGAGAAAGAGGAGGGAGAGCTCCAGGCTGCCGGGCAGCGTGTAAACACCCGACGTGTGGAGATGCCCGTCGACTTCGGACTAGTTGGATCCTGCGCAAGACGCGAAGAGGACCATCAAATAGACGTCCTGCTTCTCACCAGTCTGATTTGTCGTAGGGAAACGAGAGCACCCAGTAGGTGCAGGACGACCTACTGGGGAAGAATTGGTTTCTGTTGAGCATCAAAGAGGTAGGGGGCAGCATGGCCCAGCCCCGAAGAGCTCCGTACTCTTGAACACGGAGCGTGTATGCAAGCCGGGCTTGCTGGTCGTAAAAGCAACTGTGATAAACTATGAGAAGCCATCGAAGGTCTTGATCGATTCCGGAGCGCCGGGCAAGTATGCTTGATGCCCCACAATCCAAAGAGGTTAGTTGTATGCTGAGGCGCTAAATGTGCGGTTGAGTGCCACCGTCACTTATCACTTAGCGACGGGAGTTGTGTCATTGTGCCAAAGGTCCCTGTGGACCTCGGTGTCAAGTTGTTTGTTAACTTCGATAGCGTGAAACGCTGCTTAGTCTTAGACTTGGATTTGAAGTATGACCTTATCCTTGGTATGACATGGTTGGAATATCATGAGCCATGGATTCATTGGAGGTCGAAGACATTGGGCGCTTCGCGCACATCTTCTGGTGGAGCTTTGGTGAGTCATGAACTCACCTCTGCTAGGAAGCAGAAGCGCAATTGGCGCGGGCACTGAACCTGGACGGTCAATGTCGGAGTATCCGAGTTGTCGAGCACCGAAGGTGTATTGGACGAGAGTCCAGAGCATGGCTCGCGGGCTGAGTGTGGAATGGCACATAACCCACTGAGCATTGCTGCATGCGAAGAGTGGCATGGTCGGCCAAAGGCCGAGGCATCGAGGGTGAGGCCCCAGTGATGCACGTGCAGTGGTACGTTATCCACTGGATGAAGCAGCTCTTCATCGGATGTTGTTATAGCATCAAGGCTCCGATGCAGCAGGAAATTGGATACTGGACGACGCCGAGTGCGTGCTCCCACTGGTCTCGATGAGACGTAAAACCTCTCTAGAGAAGAGACGACGAAGACGGATGATATCTGCAAGACGCAATGTGTCGACGCTGACCCAGGGTGTGTCTTCCGTAGACAATTGCGCACAGCTATTTCCCTTTGTCGACGGTATGCCGAGAAAGAAAGACGGCGACGTCACCCTCGAGGCTATTCCCGCGGTGGATGCTCTTCTATAGCTGGACAAGATGTTCTTCAAAGAATTTGCGGTGCTTTGAAGGCAGACGATTGAGCCGAGGTGGTCATTATACGACTGAACGAGAATATTAACTCGTCGTCGCTTCTGGATGAAGCTGTCCTGGAGGAAGCCAAGAGGGTGCTGAACGCACGAAGTGGGTCATCAATCCTAAACAATCCCTCGGATCTGTACTAACCTTTGGTAAAGGAACTTAAACACGTCGTCGCCAAAGACCCGCTGTCATTCCTATTTTTGAACCGAGGTGTGTGTCATGAGATTGACCTAGTTAACCAAACACGCCAATGGTGCCTGCCTAAACAGTAGTATGACGTCATTGACGCCTTTTTTCGTGGAAAGCACGATGCAGGAATGGTGCATGAGAGCAAGTCTCCCATTCGACACCTACATTTTGTGTCCGGAAGCCGAACGGCAAGTGGCGTATCGTTCACGCTTACAATAAGCTGAACGCTACCACCTATTCGGCACAGACGCCGATTCCTAGGAACGATGTTCTCCATAACAATATGATTGGCTGTACACAGTGCAGCGCACTTGACTTGGTCGATGGGTATTACGATTGCTCAAGGAAGCGAGTGATATTCCGCCGACAGCGGTGAGTA